CCTCTCTGCTTAAAAGTCGGGACTAGCAGTCCCGACTTTTAAGCAGAGAGCCCAGCCGCTGGTCAAGACGAAGTGCACGGGACTAGCAGTCCCGTGCACTTCGTAAAACACATTCGGCTGCAAAACCGACCCTTTTCTTCAGAAAAGGGTCGGTTTTACTAATATTTTTCACTTTAGGTCGATTTTGCCTATTAAATTCTAAAAAAGGTTGGTTTTAAAAATTTCTCCTTCTTTTTATATTTGAAAGTTATATCACAAACACTCGGTAATTTTTTTCTAGTTTACACGTCATGCTAATTTTCTTTGTGAATCACAAATTCCGTAATTAATTTGGTAGTCCAGTGTGAGATACTTATAACACTTATCTAGATGCATCTTTGTTCTCTTAGAGGTCTGAGAGCTTATGCATTGTTTCTGCATTTTTTGCTCGGATAGCGAACATATATGAGCATTGAATAAAGACTTCTAAATTTCATATGAATATATGATGATGCCTTATCTTGCTCGGATAGCGAACATGAGCACGGATCTGTCCTATTTTGGGTGAATTGAGATTTTTAGAGGGTTAATTCCCTCCTTTAAATACTGCCACGTCAGAAAATTCGTGCTACATCAGCAGCTAAAAAATAGTTTAAGTCATCACGTGCCACGTACATGACGAGCTCTCGCCGGAAAACTGGTCACCGACGAGAAAAAAGAGCCTTGTTGGTAAGTTGAATCAATTAAAATGTCTTAAAGCAGGTTTACCTAATTAAAATACCTTCTTGGTAAATGGGGTGAAATTAAAATACCAATATGGGTATTTAGCCTAATTAAAATACCAATATAGGTATTGTAACCAAAAAAAATCGTCAGAGGATGCTGCTAATGTCATCACTGAGAAGAAAGTTATTACTGTAAGTTCTCCTTTTGCATCTCCCTCCCTCTATAATTTCCTCATTAGCTTAATTATCTCCCAACTCGCGGTCATATTAACTAAATGTTATTATAGGTGGGGGTGTTCCCTGAATTTTCTGGTGAGGAGTTTGATAACTTCATCGCGGTAGCAGAGAAATTGCGTTCTGATTGTGACTTTAGTCGTGTGTCTGATGCTAATTAAGCTCCTTCCTCGTGTCAGATTCAGCAGCAGTTGCTCTCTTCATCTTATTTGCTCCACAGCTCTTGCCACCACAAGTACCCATCTCGACCCGTGTCATTTTTGAGGATTTTATCATTTGTTTTCAAATGTATTCTGAATAAACAAAGAGATGTTTGTATTAATATGCTGATCGCATTTGCTAACAGAAATTTGTTCAGGTTAGCCGAATCAGGATCCTCGACAGCTTAGCTTTCTATGTTGCGGGTGCAATCATGGTGCAGCAAGGGAGGTTAGAAGCACGAAGCATAAGCTGGCTCCATTTATTCGAGTTCTTTCATTATGTGCTCGGTTTCTCAATCAAAGTATGAGAGATTTTGATCAATATTTCTAATGTTTTTTATTTGATTATATTGATGTTAGAAAAGAAATTAGATTCAACTATTTTGATTAATTTAGCTGGCTGGACTACTGTTATGATTAACAGTAGTCCATCCTTTCTCTCAAAAAAAAAAAATAGATTCAACTATAGTGATAATAGAGAGATTTTTGTGGAATTAGCTTTAGGCGTGATTATTAAGTGGTACGTCTATGGATTTTGAAGTTGTGAATAATACACTTGTAGTTTGGAAACAATAACTTTTAAGGTATCTATATTTTATTATGTGAAGTTCATTTTTTTTCCCTCCCTATGAGAAGTTACTTGGCGGAAGTGCTTACTAGTTTATCATCAACCAAATCCATTTAATTAATCTTCATGCATACACCGACTTTATTCTTTCTTATATGGTCATATAGTTTGAAGTTGTGCAATTAAATTGTTATTTGGTACCGTGACATGTTAACTTCTCCTTTACTGAAAATTTAAGATATGTATAGTATATGATGCAAAGTGCAACTTTCATGTAGGCTTCATCTTGGATAATCAAGAATGAGAATATGACGAACTCGTAGAGAGTTTCAACTGGTGGTTGAGATTCTCGAGAAGGAGATGTAGAGGATTCATGCAATTGTACTCATTTTTTTTAATGATTTATAATTTTTGTTAGTGTACTGATTTTTTTTTATTTGATGTTGGCGAACATTAAATTGTATGCTATCTTTTTTTCTAGTTGTTAGGAGAATTACACTAATACTTGTACTTTCGATTTTTGTGACATTCAATAATATACTCATTTAAAGCTTTACAATTTGTATTTTTGTTGATGAGAATTGTATTAGTGTTTGTAATTAGATATTGTTGATAATCAAGTGGATTAGTGTGGTCGTACAGGTGAAGAATTGGCGAACGCGACGAGCGAAGTGTAGGAAATCAGCAAGAGAATTCAGCCAGGCAGACTGGCGGTCGACCGCGAGTCAGCGACGATCGACTGCGAACGTGCACAAGAGGGCAGTAGGATTCGAATCTGAAGGCGATCGACCGTGGAGGTCGACCGCGCCAACCCTGTAGGTGATTTTGGTCTTGGGATGAAATTCGGTCGACCGTCGCGGTCGACCGTGGGTTTCCTGTAATCAATTTAAGTCTCTGTCGTTTGGTTTGGTCGACCGCCACGGTCGATCGCGATACCTGCGCGGTCGACCGCCACGGTCGATCGCGATACCTGCGCGGTCGACCGTCGCGGTCAACCGCAGAACAGTTTGGGCTGGGCTTTCGGTTTTCAACCCGTTTCGTTTTAAGTTAGTATATAACTCTAATCCTGATTAGTTAGGGTTAAGCAATGACGTTTTAGGGTCACATAAGAGTCCAGAGGCATGCCTCCAATTTACTTAGCTCGAATCTAATTCTATGAACCACATCTATCCATAATCTAACGATCATGAAGAGTAATTGACTCGAAAAAAACGTAAAAAAAAAAGAAAGTGATTACTCTTAGGTATCTCTGGATTTTCAATGTGTTGCTTGTGGTGCACGTGATGCATGCATAACATGGTAAACACTAGCATTTAATAAAAAGCTATCAGTAACAAGTTCACACTGAAGCTAATATGAATAGACATATAAAAACTTATTGCAATGTGTAATATAAATTTATCTCAATTCACAAATCAATATTGTCTTAAACAGATTTTCTCAGATCTAATGAGAAAATTTTGATGGTCCCCTCGGATCTTCACTATTTTGATAGTAGTCCACCCAAATCATTAAAATTTAAAAGTACTTTACATATTTAACTTAATAACCAAAACCTATTCCAAATTCTCATCTTCTCCATGTTATCCATTCACAAGTCTCTTACTCATTTAACTCAATTACAAATTCAAACTCATTTCAAGCTCTCATTTTTTTCTATTTCAACCCCTTAAAAGCCCTCTTATTCATTTAACTCAATTACAAACCCAAACTCATTCCAACTCATCTTCTCTGTTTCAAACTCTTTTGAAATGGAGAAATGAAATGGAGAAAATGAGTGATTGAAGTGGACTTGAATTTGTAATTGAATAAAATGAATTTGGGGTTTGTAAGGAAATGAGTTTGGGTTTTTTATTGAGTTAAATGCGTAAGGGTTTTGTTGAGTTAAATGCGTAAGGGTTTTGTAGAGGGGGGATAGAAAAGATGACCGTCCGAAATGAGTTTGAGTTTGTATTTAAGTTATGTATGTAAACTACTTTCAAATTTTAATGATTTCAGAGGCTAATATCAAAATAGTGAGGATTTGACGGACTAATTTCAATTGTTTTTCTTGCCAGCGACTAAGTTTTGGGCTTAGTTGACTAACAACAAAAATATCAAATTGTCACCGGAGTAACAAAAAATACCAAGCTGTCAAAAGGGTCAAAAAAAATACCAATCTGGTAATTTAGCCCTGAGGAAACTATTTGGAAGTACTGCTCTACTTCAAGATATGCATCTGAACTTCGAACTTTCTATTCTAACAAAATAATTTGCAGCGTCAAAGATAACAAGCTAACTGAAGTTTTAAACAAGCAACCAGAATCATAAAATGTTGGCAAGTCAACACCAACATCATTGTGTTGATGAAAAAGTCTGTTCATAAAATAAGCTAAAAGCAAAATCCCAAAATACATAACACATAATTTATCATATGCTGCTCTATGCTTTGATGGCGTACTTCCTCATTGGGAAGTACATTTCTCTCTTCTTCTCGCGCTCTGTCTTCAAGGATTCCTATGGTGCAAACACAAAAGGTAATCAGCAATTAATTATACAAATTATAATCAGAAAACGTGATGGTATCATTCCGTTCTGCAGAGTATTAATCAAGTAACATGCATCCAGATGATTAAAGCCATACGTGAGAAGCATTAGAGGAGACTATGACATGGTTTCTGTTATAACTAAACCCCTCTTTATACGCTTCAGTGGAAAATAATGATCATACTCTCCAAAACTCAGTCTTTTGGTATTTGGGGACGTTCACAATAGTTCTTGCATGCGCTGAATGAAGGCACTAATATCTATCAACACATTGTTGAACTGTGCGATAAAGAACAATATTTTGATCACAAACAAACTACTAACAACTTCTCCTTTTAATTAGAGATGTAAGGACTAAAAGAAATCCATATTGTTCAACAAACACGTGATCACCTAACAAGAAGCATTATTATCAAACCCTGACCTGAGTAGTATGTCAGAGTAGCATTTCGGTATTTGCTTCCAATGTACTTTTTGACACATCCACACACTTCTTTGTGTCTGCTTTATTACTACCAAATATTCCTCGAGTCCCTTCATGGTTAATTTTGTTTTAGGGCTTCTTTGCTTCAACTTGTTTGTTGTGGCCTTTTAAGCACTATAGCATTTGTAACGAGTCATGACTGCTATTAATGTCAATGGAAGTACTTCTCATCCCCCTTCAATTGGTTATTATTGGTCCAACACCTATTATGATGATGGACACCAATTACGATGGACAGAAGAAACTCTAAAGGTAAGTTTGAATTCTGTCAAGAGCCAAACGACTTGAATTAGAAGACACCAACAGATGCTTCCTTCTGCTACGGGCAGAGACACAACGACGGCCTTTGTTGCAGGTGGAGACAAAGGAGAAGAGAAAAGCAGAGAGAGCAAGAAAAAACAGTGACAACAAAGTCAGGTGTGGAAAGAAAGAGAACGAAATAGAAAGGAAGCAGATTGAGAAGATGAAGCTTGTAATATGATATTCAAAAATGGGATGCTTCAAATAATTCTAATGCTTATACTAAATCAGATTTCCGTTTACGCTGGATATCGAGTTTGAACCTCATTTTTTCCCATTAAGTACATTTTTATTTAATATGGACATTGGGTTTTTACACAACTTTTCTACCAGAGACCATGCTAGTGCAGACTATATAACCATTTTTCAACTTAGGAATGTACAGCACTTAAGCAGGGGCACCTAAGATTAAACCATGTGGCCCTAGTTAGTCACCTCCACAGAGGGAGTTATACATGCGACTCTTTAAAACAATGATTTTGTCCGTGTATTGTTCAAAATTGCCAATTTTCAAGTCTTATGATTTTGTCCAGCACACACAACATGTACTAATTTCTAAAACGTATAATAACAGTAAACTCTATATTTTCTCAAGGCAAACATTTGTATGATATACTTCTAGTTCTTTTCAAATCACACAGCCTCCAACTCTCTACTAAACCTATTCCATCAAAATCCAAAACCTTTCAAACAAAAGAAGAGACTAGACAAGCTAACATCAAAGCACTTGCAGGTTCATTCGAACAAATGTTAAGTTTGAAGAACCAAAATGTTCTAAAAACAAAACACGATCTAAATCTCACCTCACCACCATTACATATTTAATCAAAATTTCATTATTTCTATGCATTATAAGATATCACATTATCCAAGGTTTATACGCAGAAACAAAAAACAAACCTAAATCTTCTATAAAGAGCCCGACCTTACGTTCACCCAAAATAATTTCAAGCAATGAAATAAGTCAAAGACAACTAAACGCGCTAGTTAGGTAAAGTAATAAGAGTACACTTAACTTATCAGAGGAGATGACCTATAACAGAAATGAATGGAAAAAATGGGATTCATGCAGTCGACCTAAAATTTTGGCTTAATGAAAAATCACTCAACAACATAAAACTAAAAATTAGTAAATTATAGCACACTCAAAAAAGCCAAAACAAAGATCACCACGCAGCAAGTAACTTAAAACGAGCAAAAAAAAAAGTGTCAAATATTGAACCTGATGCTTAGTAAGCTTTCGCCTAATAGCCCTAGTCTTCTTCGGCCTCAGATCCAGAGGCAAAAACTTCTTCTTTTTGTACGCTTCCCTCAGCGCCGCCTTCTGCTTCTGCGAGATCACCGTCAGCACCTGCGCAATCCCGAGCCTAACCACTTTTCTGCACTCAAAAACCAGAGCAATTTCAGGTCCAGTCCAGTCAACGAAACAACGTTAAAACCCTAGAAATCGAAACCGTAGAAAATAATGGGAGGTTATCTTACATCTTCGAGAGCTTGTTGGGGGCACCGCCGGTGACTTTAGCGACGCGGAGGAGGGCGAGCTCCGCCTTGAGATCCTTCAGTTGGTTCAAAAGGTCGGCCTTTGACTTCCCCCTTAGCTCGTGGACCTTGATTCTCGCTGCAAAAGAGAACAAGAGGGTGAAACTTCGCGGAGGTTTGAAGAGAGTTGAGAAATTTAAGATCTGAGATTCGAAATTTTACCCATTGGGAATGTTCGATGGCCTCCAATGGAAGAAACCCTAGAAATGAATGGAGGCGGGGATTTTAGACAGAAAGAGGTATAAAAACCTCTACAGTTCGCGAGAAACCCTAGTGGGCTGTACAGAATGGGCCGGGTATTTTGACATAGTGGGCTTGGCCCAGTAGTAATTTTTTGACAACTAAAATCAGTATTAGGTATTTGTCCTCTCAAATTGTGCTCAGCACTCTAAATTAGAACGAGAAGCCCGATAGCCAATGTCTCGCTAGTTGCTACCCATTAATCTCAAGGGTTAATCTCACAAAACCCTTTGAACATTGAAAGCGCTGTTTTTTTTTTTGAGAGAAAGGATGGAATATCACAAAGGTATTCCAGCCAGCTAAATTAAGATAGTTGAAAGCGCTGTGCTTAACCTCCTAAACTCTGTTTATCTCACATAACCTTTCTAAACTTTGCACTTTCCTCGTCGATTCCCCTCCACGTAATTCACAAATAACTAACAGTTCGTAGAGAGAGAAAATTAAGATATTTTTTTAAACCCATTTTGTTATGCGTGAAAAAAAAAATTCTAAAATTTAAGAGACAAATGTGTAGGGTTATTTTAATGATTTGGAGGGTAAAGTTGGAAAATATGATTTTACCCCGCTGTACGTGAACCCAACTTGGCGCTAACGCAATCGTCACTTTCTCGTCGGCGCTCATCTTTCGATCTCAAAAAAAAAAAATCTATCTTCGTTCCAAAAAAAATAAAGTACCTGCTCCAGCTCACCTGAAGCCGGTGAAATTTCAAACTAACTCTCTCTCTAAAAAAAATCCTCAGATCCGCCAAAACCCCCCCCCCCCCCCCTCTCTCTCTCGTCAAAATCCCCAAAAATTCTCAATCTCCGGACCTCAAATTGCCCCAAAAATTTTCCACCATGAAGCAGCTCTACAAGCAATCAAACAGCTTCGGGCGCCAATCGCCGACCTCCTCATCTCAGATCCCTTACACATCCAAACCCTCAAAACCCCGATCTCAGCAGATCTCCGTAGCCCACCGCCTTCCTCTTCCTCCTCCTCGGCGCCCTGATCGCCTCCTCCCTCTTCCTCATCCAACCCTACCTCTCCTCCTCCTCCGACGCCGCCGCCGCCTTCGCAGCCGCCGCCGCCGACGACCCTCCCAACGTCGAGTACGGCCACCGTGCTCTCTACCACCGCCGCTCCCGCCCGTGGGCCCCAGCGGGTCCCGTCGCCCTCAAGAACCCTCGAAGCGGATCGTGGTCACGGGGGCCGGATTCGTCGGGAAGCCATCTCGTGGATCGGTTGCTGGATCGGGGGATTGCGGTGATTGTGATTGATAATTTCTTTACGGGGAGGAAGGATAATTTGGTGCATAGGTTTGGGGATCCGAGGTTTGAGCTGATCAGGCACGATGTTGTCGAGCCGATTTTGCTTGAGGTTGACCAGATTTATCATCTTGCGTGCCCGGCGTCGCCCGTGCATTACAAGTATAATCCCATCAAGACCATCATATCCTTTTTGTTCGGTTTTAATCTGTTATTGTGTAGGAAAGTTTGGATTTTGTAGTTGGAATTGGCTGCAAGGTTAGTCTTCTCGTTGAATTTGGCAGAAAGTACATAGCTTCGGTGATATGGGTATATCTAGTTATCTTATAGGAGATTTTGATATGGGTATGTCTTAGTATAGGAGAATTGTAGGAATTTTGAAATTTTGATTTTAGGGCTATGTTTGTGTTTGATTATGTGGGAGCTATTATGTTTTTTTTCTTTATGGTTTAGAATGTTAGTGATACAAAAAACATCCAAATTTGGTAGTTGATCTAGTGGTCTTTACTGATCTGCAAGTTTTCTGATCAGAGTGTATATAACCTTTTTAGATCTGTTGTTGTTATTATTAAAAGTTTTGTTTTGTTGGCTATAAAAATTTGTCTCTTACACCATGATTGCTGTTTTGGAGTTTTTCTATAATAATATTTATTATAACATGTTGTCTTTTATCTTTACACAGTTTAGTTCACATTAGGACAAAGGAGTTAGTTATGATGTTAGTTAGTTGAAGGACGAAAGCAATTTGGAAGAAATCTTTGTTTCTGCAAAAATATGATGGAATTACTTAATTTTTTGAGAAGAGTCTCTCTTTGTTTTATGGGTTCATCATAGATCACATTATCTAGGATTGAATGTTTTCTTTGGTGAGGGTTATCTGTTCTATGTTGAAGTGTCAGTTATTCTGGAATGATTTTAACGGTAACAATACATCTGGCATAAAGGTAGTGTTAGGTAATGATTTCTTATCACTTACAGCAGAAAGTGGTACAAAATTGATCTTATATGTGGACGTGTACAAGGTGTCTATTGATAGTAGATTTTGCCTGCAGTTTATGTTTCGTGAAGCTTATTGGATTTTGATTGAATTAGGAATAGGACATTCAGTTAGAAGGATAAAATATGATTATTGGATTTACTAATACTATGTTCATCTCCTGTCAATGTTTTGACATGTTATTTTAGGTCAACCTTAGATAATTTTGATCTGCATACAACTTTAATCTATTTATGATTCTTCTGTCGAATTTATCTGGGGATCCTTAACCATGAATACAAGACAAATGTGATGGGAACCTTGAACATGTTGGGGCTGGCAAAGAGGATTGGGGCACGTTTCCTGTTGACCAGCACTAGTGAAGTTTATGGTGACCCACTTGAGCATCCACAGAAGGAGACTTACTGGGGCCATGTCAACCCTATAGGTTAGTGATCCTCTTTTGCTAGTTTTAGTGAAGCTAATGTTTGTTCATGGACTTTTTTGAAAGAAAGTAAGCTTCCATTATTCTCTTAGTGAGTTATCATTATATTAATTTCACTGTTATGCCTTTCCAGGAGTTAGGAGTTGTTATGATGAAGGAAAAAGAACAGCAGAAACATTGGCTATGGATTACCATCGAGGTGCAGATGTTGAGGTAAGCTAATTTAGTTTTAATATCATTTATATGTACTGATTGTCTCTTGCTAAGTACAACACTGTCATAAGCATATGGTAGCCTGGCCTTTAAAGTGGCTTAGCAAGGGAAATCCCAAAACATTTTCTCCCCCAGTCTCTCTTCTGGATAGCTGTTAACTATCCGTACCAAAAGCATTTGAAATATGCGCCCAAAATATTTATGTTTCCGTTCCAATCCTTTGGCTTCCACTACTTGTTCACAATTTGGAAACTCCTCTCGTGCAAACATTACGTACCTAGTTGCATGTATTTTGCTTTAAGATCATTTTGTTCATATCATTTTGGCTCTTCGTTTTGTTTATTAATTCGTTCTACGATTGATGTAAGAGAAATTGCAATATTGGTTTTATCTTTCAGACACATTAACATGCAATCGTTTACCTTGCAATTTGTATGTCAACCAAGCAGAAGCTGTTAAGTTCTTGACTGTCCTCATGCTCATAGAAGAGACTGCTGACACTGTTCAAATACATTGAATACTGAAGTCCATAACAACTAAAGATCCTTACTTTAATGCCTGTAATTGGCAAAGTACCACTTTGTAGGTTTTCAGAATAGTTTGAGGGCGCTTCATAAACTAGGATTTAATGTGGTCAATGTATGCTGCAGTTGATCATATGATAATTATCAGTAGCCATTTACAATCATGTATTTATGATCGGGCCTGATAGCATTTGCATGTACTACATATGACATATTTAGCACATATTACAAAAAAAATAATATCAAGTGATTCAACACTGAAATACAAAAAACTACCTCTTCCTGAATATAATTCTGGAGTGTGGATTGCCTGTTTTTACCTCGGAAGTGGGGAAGCGATCCGGGCATTCTACCAAAGCAAGGCGGGCGGTTCGTGAGTCCGTGACCTTGTCTTAAGAGTTCGATCCAGGCAGGGAGAAAAGAAGGCATTTGACGTGAAAAGACTATTGCCATTTAGTATTGGTTGCAGCAGGAAGGAGAGAGGGTTCAATACCCGATTTGAGAACCTGGTAACCTAGCATCCTCACTATTAAAGTATGAGTTAAGCGCGCCCCGGCTTACTCCCCCCCTCATGTTGTTGACATGGGTGAAGTACTCTCCTTGGCCTTAGGTTAGTACTACACTGCTACCTTTGTGTGTAGATGTGGTTAGGTTCCGGGTATTGGTGTGGTAGTCTATTCCTGATGCAGAGTGTGGGTAGGTCGAGCTAGTAGTCTTTCCTCGGGTTATTCGTAACTACGTAATTGGTCTTACGCCGACGAAAGCGATGAGCTTGGATGGCTCCATACTGTTCCCATGTATTTCTAACCAGTTGGTCTTCCTGCTAGTCGAATAGTTGTGACTCTGTATTTGCTTCGGATTGCTTGAATTTTTATATTGAAAATTTATCGTCAGAATTGCCGAATGAAACAAAAAAAAATACAATTTGGATAAGAATCTACAAACATCTGCATCTATTACATATGACATATTTAGCGCATATTACAAAAAAAATGATATCAAGTGGTCCAACACACTGAAATACAAAAAACTACCTCTTCCTGAAGATAATTCTGGAGCGATGAATTTTTGTATTGAAAATTTATCATCAGAATTACTGAAAGAATTAAGAAATACAATTTGGATAAGGATCTAGAAATGTTTGCAATACTGGAAAAAGTAACATATTTTGTTGAATAAAAGTCGAATACTGAAAATGATGGAGATGGTAAGGTAATGTTTTAAGACATTTCCTTGCCCTTCACAAGCTAATTGACAAGTGGGCATCATGGTTGGTGATGAATTGAGCTATTGGAGGGAGCTTGATAGAGTAGGGAGAATGGTTTAATTAGACACGGGGGCAAGGAGAGAGGCAGAATAGGGAAGGTGTTATTATGCCCTAGGCACGCGGTCTGTTTGGGACCTATTGAGTCAGTGTAGCGCATTGTTTTAGCTCAAACCACTGCCAAAATCAACTAGCCGATGCTACACTTGAACTGCATGCTTTATTATTTAAACACTCCAAATTATTCAGAACCCACCAATGTGGGACTAAATGTTATGGGGCATCACAGAAGGGGACACTGAAATATGAAAATTAGGGTCAGTGAGACTTGGGCTGAGCGTAACTTGAATTGTTCCCCACTTGGGATGAGCTTAAAGATATGGCACGAGGAAGTTACATCAAAGTAAGTATCATGTTGACAAATGCTCCACATACATGCTTACATGAGCTATCTAGCCTATCTTTATATACACATGTATACATCTTTAACTTTATATGCCCTTTGCAAATCGTACCGGAATGACTTGGGTAGACCACTTACACATCTTATGCTTACTTGGTTTTTATATTTCAGGTTCGTATTGCTCGTATTTTCAATACATATGGACCACGGATGTGCTTAGACGATGGGCGGGTTGTTAGCAACTTTGTTGCACAGGTGAGTTATGCCTTTGCCGTTGCGGATAACTATTTTCGACTGCTAGTGCAATGCAATGATGCACAGAAACTGGCAATTTTCAAATTTTCTAATGAAGCTTATCATTCGTTCTACATAGGCCATCCGGAAGCAGCCAATGACAGTATATGGTGATGGAAAGCAAACTCGAAGTTTCCAATATGTTTCTGACTTGGTACCGAAGTCCCCCTTCATCCTGCTTATAATATGCTATTGCGTTCAAAGCCATTTGTTTGTGTTCTTTATACATCAGTGATTGCCTTCTACTGTTTTAGCACTTATTTTTCTGCAAAAACTATAAGCAGCTGTTCTTTACCTTTGTTTATGAATGCATCTCACATCCTCCTCAAATTTGTTTATGTTGAGCATATATTCAGTAATGTGCTACGAATTGTGGCTAATTTACTGTCGCTTCTTTTCCATATCATAATTGTGCACACAATAGTAAAAGCTTAATATAAATACACCAAAAAAAAATCTTGCATAATGCGCAGGCAATTAATAATCCATAATTCACATAGCAAGTTGTACCGCCAGTGTATCTGTACCGAAGAAGCATGAACAAATATTAAACTCTGCTGTGTGGATAGACAGAATGACATGTTATGCGAGCTAGAGTTTGGGGAATAAAGTTTCAAATTTGGCCAGAAAATCAGGTCTTGAAATCAGGACCGGTCTTCTTTATTCTTGAACAAAGTCCAATATCAGTTTTCTCTTCAGCTGAACCATAAATTCTGCTTAGGTGATGAGCAGCATTATCTCCTAAAGTTAGTAGAAAAAATAAATTAGCTGTTGAGCTAATGATATTATTTAGTTTTGGTCCTGGAGTCTTATGATTCTTACATTAAGTAGGTATTGGCAGTCCTTTCCGTAAAACAGGCCAGCCGTTTAGATAAAGTAATATTTGACCAATTTTGATGGTGAACACCAAAGTTACCTGGATACTTCATCTTGGCTCCCATATCCGTATCCATATCGGACACTTCTTGGACACTTCTTGAGTATATACATACATTTATGCAGATATGTGCCCCATTATACAATACATGTTATAGTTTATAGTTTAAAACATTTGTGGTACACTTTTTTTACGTATATCTTATACTTCACATCAAATTTCTGCAACTTGTTAGACTCGGATCGGGTTCATTTCAACCCATATCATGTTCATAAGTATGGTTTTAAACGATGATTTGGATATCAAGTCCAAAAGTGAGCAATTTTTGAATTTATAACCTACTCAATAAAAAAACATAAATAAGTTATATGGACTTTAGTTCTCATAATATGTAATACAAAAAACAATATCAACCTAATATATTTCAAATGAATAATTGGAAATCAATATAATGTAACGGTTAGATGGATGAAAATTTATATATTCCATTTACTTGACTTTATAGAATTGGCGGAAAGGTTCTTGAACCTCAAGTAAAACAAAATCCGTCTGTATAATATATTATGTATTGTTATTGTATTGTTCTATTTCAAAAACAGCGGCCCTTTCAAATCAAAAGGGTCTGTGATTCTTTAAATATTCATGATTACTTCTGGTACCAATCGTTCGTTGTATATGATGGATACGAAAAGATTAGGTTCTTGCGACCTTTTCGCGTCATCGAAATAGCTTATATTTGGTTAATAACTAAGTTCCGGAACTGGAAATCTATTAAGAGCCTTTCTTTTGAGGTTTAGAATTTATTTGTTCGAGAAAAACAGTTTTCATGATTCACCATCCCGAAAAATCTGTTGAAGATGTAAATAATACTTAAGTAAACCCATTTTTCGTCTTTTTTTTCTCTTTTTCATTCATATGATAGAATATGGGACTTAAATCTTTTCTAAGACTTTTCTAGATAACTATTTATCTATCCATAGATACATAGAAAGTATTATATACCGTTGATCCAATGACTATTCATGATTCTATCTTGAATCAATTCCATACCGGTTAGAAATTTAATTAGAGGAATGTTATGGTAAAACTTCGTTTGAAACGATGTGGTAGAAAGCAACGTGCGACTTGAAGGACATGATTCGATGTGGATTCTTACATCCACCATTTTCTATAGGAATGAAGATGCTCTTGAATCGACATAGTTTGTTCTGTTCTTGCTAGGAACCTAATTTGTGTTGGGTTGGTAAATAGGAATAGTACATGATGGAGCTCGAACAAAAAGTATTGATTCATTTATTGGGGGGAAGAATCTAGGATATATATATATATATATATATATATATCGCGGTGTTACCTATCTTACATTTTACAAATTGGATGTGTCCCGTATTTGCACCCGTGTCCGTTTTTGCACCTGCACCCATACCAGTATAACATAGGTGAACACTAAACAGATGCTGCTGTGGTTAAAAGCTTTTAGTGACAAAATAAATGATTTCATTGGAGTCTGTAGCTTGTTCATCAAAATTTTCACCTCCGCTTATGCACCTTCTCTCGCTGGAAGTCCACTGAATGAAGTTGTGTTTGCTTCCTCTTCAATGGTTTTAATGCCATTTTTTCTTAAGCTGAAAATTCTACCTATTTGTCAAGGACATGTTCATTTCACCAAATTTTAAGATCTTCTCTATGAAAGCAAGTTAGTAATTAGTTCGGTATGTTGGTAGTGTTAAGGGTTCATATTCTTCTGTAGGGTCTATTTATTTTGGAATATGCATAAGCGATTATTGTTACAAGACATCAAAGTTCTAAAGATGACAGTAATTTAGTTTCTCCATTTGGTTTCTAGGTTAATGGGTTGATGGCACTGATGGAAGGAGAACACATTGGACCGTTCAATCTTGGCAATCCAGGGGAATTCACCATGTTAGAGCTTGCTGAGGTTTGGCAACAAAAAAGAACAACATGTTTCATTTCTTTTCTGAACTTTTCTTTGGATTTAATAATCTTTAATCATGCAGGTCGTGAAAGAGACAATCGATCCCAGTGCAACAATCGAGTTCAAAGAGAACACAGCAGATGACCCACATAAGAGAAAACCCGATATCTCCAAGGCGAAGGAGCTCCTGAACTGGGAACCCAAAATTTCATTGCGTGAAGGGCTACCTCTAATGGTGACCGATTTCCAGAAAAGGATCCTCAACGGTGAAAAATAGAGCAGAAGGGAATCCAATCTAAAAGCTGTATCATAGAAGCAGGCTGTTTGTTACTGACACGGTTGATCTATGTATTGGATCATTGTTTTTTTTGAGTTCCTATTCTTGCCTGCTGTTTATTTTCAGTCTCATCTGTGAATGAGCTCTTCTTTTACCTTGTATTCTTTTGTTTCCCAAACCAACTGCAGACTGATAAGATGTAAGAATTTTGTTTTCCTTTACTTTTATATATATATTGATCGTCTCATTTCACATGTTCTTCTAAACAACAAGGTAGAGATTTTCTGCAGACTGATTTGGATATGTGGATTAAGTTAGCAACAAACAACAACAACAACCAAGACTTTATCCCAAGTATTTGGGGTCGGCTACATGAATCATATATTTCCATTCAATTCTGTTGCAAGGTCATTTCCTCCGTTAGGTTATTTTTTAATCATATAATGTTTAACTGCTTCTGACCAAATCATTCTATATCGACTTCTAGATCTTCTAGCCCCATTAGCTTTAATATTATCACTTTTTCTAATCGGACTGATTTGGACGTGTGGATTAAGTTGGCAGTATTTTGATTTTCATTTATAATGTTTACCTCTATCCAACCTCTCATTATGTGAAATTGCTTTGAGCTAAGAGAGTACTGCATATAAGCTGACGATCACTTTAAGAAAATGAGATTGTGCGCTCAACTTAGTTGAAAACAGTTTCAGATAATGTGAGGTCGAACTGAGGTAAGGCCACTAAGCATGAGAAAAACTAGTTCAGGGGGTTATGTGAAGTTAATCGAAGATGAAAATATCGGGGCTCAGAATCTAATGGCCAGCTACACAAATTAATGGGAAAGGGAGCTTGAGGTCGAAGGAGCACCCTGTTAACATCAAAAGGAGAAAGAAAAGCGAGATTCCACCACCCCTCATCGGTCCCTTTCGGCTCGCACTCCTGCACTCGGCCATTTGACGATCAGAGAATCCCACCAGCCAACTTCTCTGACCACAAAACCCTCACCTGCTGCTTTCCAAGCTCTCGTTCATTATTATTCGAAACAGCAAACCGAAACATCTGACTGATTAAAAATACAGAAAATGACATGCATAACGTCTCTCGACGAAGAAAGAACTTTATTTACAGACAAAAAAACAACATTGGTTTGAAAACTTAAGAGGACGTTCTAGTCTGCGACGGCCACAGCTGCGCGTTCTTCACCTTCGAAATGCTGTTCAGAACGCCGAGAGGAGTGACGTCTCCGATCACCGTAACCTTCTTGTTCGCTAAGTCCGTGGTGAAGGACCTCACCCCTGGTCGAATAAAACCGAAAAGGTTTAAGAAAAAAAAATAGTTTTGAAAATGTTCGAGGGGGCTAAGAACAATTTGGAGATTAGGTGTACAAACACTTTCATGATATGCTTTGCATATATTCCCTAAAAGACCAGTTGTCTTCATGGCTTAAAAGTTTATGATTTGCATATATACCTTTGTAGCTTTCATTTATACTCCCATAATATGACAACAGAAAAATAAATTAATTATGACCTGCGGATGATTGAAGTTTTTTATTAAAAGTTAGCTTTTAGCCTATAGGCGTAATAAATTCTACATCAAATATCAGCATTTCCAAAAGTCGTAGTAACTCAAATTCTTGAGTTTTTCAATGATGGGTCTAAATTTATTTTGTTTAAAAAAACATTTATGGAAGCAAAATATATGCACAAAGCGACAATATGATTCCTAACAATTTAGAGGTATATATACTTGCATATATTCCCCTCTCAATTGCTCTAAAAGTTGGCACTTCCATATCTACACTTGATTATTTTTAGTCAGAATTTGAATCTTTTCTTTCTTTTTTTTAGATCATTCCACAGATTACAACAATCCACGTATATTATTATTCCAAACATATTTTCTGTCAATTTCCCACTAAATTGTACTTGATTCGTTTTTGTTTTATGGCTTATTTTCTAACTTTCACTTGACATAAATCCACCAAAAATAATTAGAAAGTGGCGACATCTCTGCTGATAAAAAAGGACCTGGATTGAATTTTATGTCAACAAAAAAGGATTTTATATATAGGTGCTAACTAAATTTTTGATATTACATAAACGTTTGTGAACATAAATTTTTGATATTAATTTCCAACAAATACATACAAAACTATGCAAATTTATGCGCATTTTTAAGGCAATTATATATAAGTACCAAAAAAAAAATTTAAAATTGCAAATTACTAAAAATTCTCACCTTCCATCTTGGATATGTGCTTCCTCACCTTCCCTTCACACCCCTTGCAGTGCAACGACACCCTCAAAACCACAACCTTCAAAATTACAAAACAAGCCCAAACACTTAACAAAAAAAACCCCTAACAACAACAAAATTGCACTAACGCTATCTGATCCAAACCTGTTCCTCTTTCGGCTTGTTAACAACGGCAGCAGAAGAAGAAGAAGAAGGCTTTTCATCCTTCGCTTCTTCGACCTTCACACTCTGAATCCTCGACGGAACCACAACAAACCTCGATTCTTCGATCCTCGGGGACCGAAACCTCGAGACTTCAGGCTCCAAGAACTCCTCAGAGTTGCTGCTTTCACTCAGAAGGTAGCGTCGGGAGCTGCTGGCAGGGCTAGGGAGCTCAGCAGCTTTCTTCCCCTTTGAGTTTATGCTCTTGGGCTTGTTGTTTGGTGTTTGAGGTTGAGAGAGGACGGGGTTGAGAGATTTCGACCGGAGCGGGTCGCGGAATGTGCGGCGAGCATGCGGTCGATGGCTCGGCCGGCGAGGGTGCAAGATGTTGTGAGTATTGAGGGACGGTTGTTGATGCTGAAGGGGAGTTCTTTTAGTTCATGAGTTTGGAGTTCTGTCGTCATGGTTGGAGATGTGAGAGAGAGAGAGAGAGAGAGAGGTGCTTGGTTTGGTTTGGTTTTTAAAAGGATGAGAAAGAGCGAAGAGGAGAGAGTCAAAAACTCGAACAAAGAAAGTAACGGTCGGTGAGGGGATCAATGAAGGGAACAAAGACCAACATTTGCTTGATTTGCAGTTTAATGGGGGAATAAACACAAATGACTTTAAGGACCTAAAATATAAGACCAAGGAAGGAGACAGATGAGGTGTCCCCTCCCTATTGCATATATGGAGAGGACATCTCACATGTCCCTTCCGTTGGTCCCATATTTTGGGTCCCCGTAGCAACACTCGGAGAATAAATAGAGTTAAATTAGTATTTTCTTTTGTCAGGAGATTTTTTTGGTAGGATAGTAATATCCCTGGAAAAAAAATGAAAAAAAAAACATGGTTTTGAATTAAACGAGTCTAGAGGTGGCGCAAATACAAACGCTTCCATGGAGAAGGGGGTTAATGGGATTATGGGATCAATGGTCATAGTTAGATGTTCCCACCCACATTTCAATTACTTGGAAGGCCGGCCATGTAATTAAATACTAATTGAATTATTAATCAATTCTAACGCTTTTCGTCAATTTGAGTTGTATATTTTTATTTATTTCTAACTAATGTTGCTTGCTCACTATGTCACGAGTAAATATTTTCGAGCACAAAATGCCAACTACCAGGTAATTACTCAATGCAAGTTACTTGATACATCACAAATTTCATTTCCATAAGTGATCAAGGTATTATACATAGGAAAAAAAACTATTATGTCAAACGATCATGACTTTTTCATATCAAGACTCTGAAAATTCATTATGTTAATTGGTGAAAAACATTACATGTGCTTAACGATCTAATTAATAATTTATTACATGAGCGGTCATCTAAGCAATTAAAATATAGATATAAGTGTTCAATCATGAGATAAATACAATGACTGGTATTAATAATGCATATTCATTTTCAGACCAGTACACAAATTTGCAATCCCAACAATGTAAGATTTGATATCTATTTGGTACATATTAACACTATTAAGTCATCAATGAAATGAATCGAATGCGAAGAAACAAATTTTTTCCTTGAAACCACGTGTCCAACAGACTTGATATCCATCAAGTCATCTCTCTCTAGAAATGATGGTCTTCACTCTTTTATTAGTCTCTCATGAAAATGATGATCTCTGCTCCCTCACTCGTCCAAGTAAAATTTGTATCCTCGCACCAGTTATTCATTTTTTATGGTGACTTTTGTTGCGATGCGCTACATCTTTTTCACCGCATCAAAACTCTGAAGTTATGATGAGAGTTGAGAAAAGTAATTTTATACTAGAGCAATGATCGAGTTCATGAGGCAGAAGATTCAAGTTGATTAGTTGAAAACAGTAACTCTTCTTGTTTATAATCTATTTTCATGAGAAATTTGATATTCTCGGAGTTAGCTCAGACATGCCACAAGCATGTAGCACCTTAGACGCCCTCACACGTCACTCGACTGCGTGCATTATTTTTTGGTGGGCCAAGCTTTTGCTCACCATCTCATTCATGATTCGGTAGAGGAAGAAGCCATAGACTTTTTAATGAGAGGACTGCACATCTTTTGTCTACATATATGCAAACTTATTATTGCAGTCAGTTTAGAAAAATCAACTCGGATTAACTCTCTAGTGGTCCATACCCACAATTAATGCGAACATTGGGAACTACAATTTCTAGCACAATTCTAGAAATGATAATTAGCAAAAAAAAAAAAATCACTTTTATACATTAGTATAATTTTGATGGCTAATTGTAGAAACATCTCATATTCATTGTTGTTATGGGGAATATCTGTTCCACGGATATATGATCTCATAAGTCTACATTTTGACTAGCCAGACAAGCCGACACCTCAGTGTCGACACGAGGAGTGGTGCTAATCGGCATGAGAGATCATGACCTTCCAGACGAGTCGACATCTCTATATCGACTTGAGAAACGGTTGTTAGTTGGGACGAGACGACATTCCGACCAGTCAGGCAAGCCAGCACTCTTGTGTCGACACGAAAGGTGGTGTCAGTCGACACGAGAGTCAATGACTCGAAGATATGATATTATAGGCATTGCTTCTCGACGAAGCTAAGAGGTTATCCTTGCCTCGAACCTATCAGCATAGGTGTCACTTCTCAACATTGTTTAATCTTCGATGATCATCATTATATCTTCATCCTTAATAGTCTTGAAGACTCGTCGGACTGCTAATTACCAATGTTGCGAAAGTGACCTCCCTTCACTCACTAACCAACACGTGTAGAGTAAAGGATAACTCAACTTCCAGCTCACCCCTCACCACTGTCTTACTATACACTCATGAAGTGACCAATCTGCCATTGGCATCCCCTATAAATACAGATGTTATTCGTCATAGCCAGAGGTTCGCAATCTAAAACCCCTTAAAGCACACATTGCACAAAAATAAGAACACACGGTTCTTCTTTAACCTCATTCAATTTCATCAACTGACTTGATCGTTGGAGGTATCACGGGGGAACTCATCCCCGCCCTCTTACGACTCTTTGTGTGCAGATTGCTCGGCCATCCTATTTCCAGAATCAGGCATAAAGTCGAAGAAGAAAGCAATCCCCTTTTCTTTTATAAACTCCGTGACTTTAATTGGATGTGTGATATTTAACATCAACAGTTGTAAGGGTTTACCTAATTTTTCTATGAATGTTCTTGAAGAATGTCTAACTGTTATCATTTTAGGATTCCCCTGTAATTTAAAAAACTTAGGAAAAAAACATATGATCAGATAATGGAAGGATTAAGGCTTCAAAAAATTTAAGAACGAAGAGTTAATTAAAAAGGGGTTTTTTTCCAAAGTTTTTCCGTTCTTTTTTAGTGATTTGCAATATTATTTTTGCAAACATTTTCTTTTTATAGAAGAAAAGGAAAACAAAAGCAAATTTTGGCTCTTAACTTAGCCTTGGACTGTTTCTCAAGGGATTGGGACGGGAATAAATGTGTTGGCAAGCAACCGAGCAAATAAGTGAGGAGACACTTAGCCAAACTTTTCTTTTGCCATTATCTCAACTTCTCATCCACATAAGTAAATAGAATCAGATGCCGTCCCCTTTTTCATTTTTCTTCCTTGCTTTTTTTTATTTATTTAATATATTGTTCTTTTTTGGAAGGGGAAAAAAAGGATCTTTCTACTCTATGCATATCTAAAGTCTACGAGATATTTCGAATTGCCACCGCCATCAAAGAGATCTCTGCTTGTTTTGCTTGTGGGCTGGGCTAATCGTTGGCTTAATTCCCTTTTTTCCCATGTATCTTTAAAATTTAAAAATTAAAAAGAATTTCCTTTAGTTAGGTCCACCATAGTGTTGTTTGCAAGTGAAAAACCTTCGAAAGGCTTGCAAAAAACATAGGGAAAAAACAATTTAGTATTTGACCCGTACTCACATGCAAAAACCTTTATTGATTTTTATATTTTCATATCTCATAGCGTTACACCCTGATTATTATATTATGTATAGTTGCAGATGAGGTGCACAAATCTTAACTCCTTATTATCTCATAGCCCAACCCTTTCGTCATGGCCTGGCCTTTTTGGGCCCAGATCGATAAACACTAGGCCCATTCTCCTTCCCTTCGTTGCTTCCTAGACTGCTTGCAGAGACACAAGGGAGCAAAATGAGAGCTAAACGGTCACAAAAATCCCAATGGGCCGAAACAAACAAGCTGAAAATGCCATTACTGTCTGATTAAAACATTTATTTATTTGTTTGTTTTTTTATTTATTTATTTTTGGGATAAGCAAGAGGGAGTTAAAATGGGCTTAGTGGCACTTATAGCAAGGTTTTGATGGTTAGCAAATCTTTCAGCATATCTCCATGGAATAATAGTTGGCGTTAATGTGCTAATATCTAAGATTGACCTGTGAATGAACAAGTAACACATTGAGCTACCAATAGCTAGAAATCCATCAATTAACTTAGCCGCATTGAGTTTCTCAACGTGACCCACATGGGAGATTGTAACCAAATACCCGTCGGCGCCGTTTGGCTAATGGTTTAAGGAAGAGAGATTAAAGAGAACGATTAACATAATTAGCCCGTTCGATAATGCGAATGGCTAAATTATTAACTTGTTATAGAAGTTTTATTTTAGCTGTTGTGATCATTTTTAGTGTTTGGAAATAACAATGATTTTGATTATTTTCTTATAATTAGGAGGGTTAACTTTCAATCCTTTTACATAAGAGTATTAGTAAACCCCTCATGTTAAGGGGTTAGCTTATTTTAATCACTCTAGAAGGTTTAGCCTAACAATTCTGTATTTTTGGCTTTTAGCAAATTACAGAGGGTTAACTCTATTTAACCATTATATAGATTTTTAACGTTTGACGGATTAAAAAAAGGTTAAACCTTAACCCCTCACTTAACCATTTGCCAAACAACGCCTTTTAAGTTTATCATGGAAATGGATCAATTCACTGTAGAAATATAGTAAAAGATATGTTCTACTTGTTTCTCGGAGATACCATTTTAGTACAATAAGGAGAACAGGGATAAACGTGAAGGCTGATAAATACTGAAATAAGGAGGAAAAAAATATTTCGGAAGAAAGACCATGGTTGAAATATATTATGTATTACATGATTACACAATATATTACAGTAAGCTACAATATCTGTCTGCATCAATTACTCAACATCAGTAGGAGATTTAGGTTAATCCCACGCCCATGTATTGGAACGGATCTGAGTGGACTCAGTAAATTATGTGCAGAAGAACTGATCACAATGGCCAAACAACTGAAATTTAATTGCATGAATCAAGACCAAAAATGATCAGACTGCCGCTTATGATGACTCTTCAAATGTGTAGGTCTTTTTTCATATAATCTGAGAGAGGAGCTCTTCCATGAGATCATCAACTAAAATTGTCTCCAACTCCTTTCCGATCGTAGCCACGTCATCTCCTAAATTCAACCACCAAGGATCCAACAAGAGCTGCTCCTGGTTGCCACCCAACTCTTTCCTTTTCTTGACCACAAGTTGCCATACATCTTCGACGAGATCCTCACTGGAGGGACAACTCGATTTCATCCGGGTGAGAATATCAGATAAAATGGAACTTATAAGATCAAACAAGAGTTTTCTCTCTGATTTTGACCATGATGTCATCATTCTGTACTTCTTTTCGAGCTTTTCGAACACTTCTTTGCCAACTGGATGTTCCTCAGGGTAGTATGCATTAAAGAGTGAATTCCCGCTGGTATAACGAACACCAGAATCAATGAGTACATCAAGTAGGTATGAGAAGTCCCTATCTTCGTCATCTCTAAATGCTTGGAGTACCTCTCCCGAACTGAGAGGAGAATGACACTTTCCTCCACTATCCTCCTCGTCACTGGAGATAAAAAGCTCCAAGTCTTCAGCATCTGAATCTGCTGACTCCAACTTGAGAAGTCTCAGCTGCATTCGTAGGTCTGCAGGAATAAGGCATAATTAGTAGAAGCAGTACTGACTTCTGAGATGAAGACGAACTGCTTCAGTTTTCATGCTCCACTTACCCTTGAGGCCCGCACTGATCTTCTCAAAGTCATCTGAACCGGATTTGTCCTCTTCAGATGGTGGTGGCTCTAGAACAGAGATGGGAGTAGGTTGATCCTCCTTGGGGCTAGAAGGAGAGAGTGGCTCTGATAAGTTACAGTGAGAAGAAAGGGAACTGACTTGAGGATGATCAACTGAGGTTTCCTGAAGTAAGAAGCAAGCAATACGTATTCAAATAAGAGGAGTTGTGTAAGAGATAACTGCTAATCTCCTATAAGGATATGGTCCACTCTATCTAATTCAATTTGTGGAATTGCAAGCAAATTGTTCAAGATAGGTTCTATAGATAAATGGACGCTCTGGATATCTTATTAGAATAACAATACATGATGAGAGACAATTTGCATTGACACATATATGGTGTGATACCGGTGGCACAGAATCAGTTACGTAAACCCCTGTAACCAAATATCATAATGAATGATGTTATATAATTCCACCACCTGAACAAATATTATCTTTATATGCTTGGTTAAGAAAGTGGGAACATTGAAAAAATGCATCAATAAGTTAAATTGAATCCTAAAGCTCATCACTAATTAATTACATTACTAACATTTTAGCGAGTGATGTGTTTGATATACTGAGATTACTATATACAAGGATATGTCATAAAGAATGCCCAAGTCCAACAAGCGATAGTAGGATATCAAAGTATTCTGCAATTACTGGATATGGAAACAAATCCTCTAAGAAGTCTCCTTGTTGGAATAAGTAAGTAGCTGCAATACAACCGTGGTAGATTCTTATATATATTGCTTTAGCTATGAAGAATTTTTCTGCTGCAATCTGCTTCATGCAAATAAACATGGAAGTCAACACATGCACACAAGCATACAGAAAGGGGGAAAATCACCATCAGTAGGATCATTATAGTCTAAAGGCTGTTTATAACTATAACTACAGTACACAAAAGAACAAAAGAATTCAGAGAAACTAGTTCATATCAGAAGCTAACCTTTCTCCCAGTGTAGTTTAGGTCAGGACCAGAAATCTTCCCATCATTCGCTTGCACTTCCAATTTTGTGGACTGCAGCGCCTGCTCATTGTCAACCGCAATATCGAACGTGGCATCCTTACATTGAGGAGCTCTTCCAGCAACATAATTGTCTGTGAGTTCAGGAAAACAGTAAACCTCTTCACCAGTGTGTGTTACATGGAACTTATCATGCAATTGTTCTGAATTGACATGAATTTCCCGATCAAAAATCTCACTTTCCTCTCTGCCAGAAAAAGATTGAGATGCGTCATGACGATAGCTTAGTCTTTCGGTTGAAGGTCTTGTTCTTTGACTAACATTTGTATCGAATGAATCATTTCGGCTCTTATTGAGCACATTCTGGAGATGACTGCTGTCACTAATACCAACCCTGTTCTTTCTGTTAGATTTATGGTCTCCATAAACAAATGATGAAGTTGGAAGAGATTTTGACCTAGACAAATTCCTGGACCACCCATCTCTCCAGTCATCCTTACTGCCAATGCCCATAGGGTATTCCCGTCTTGCAAGAATCTCATCTCCCAACACCTTCTCACCTGAAACATTCTGAATAATCGATGCATTCTGAGTAGTTCCTGGTATCTCTCTATCAGATACAAGCATTTCTCCCAGTGTGCTGGACCCCTTATCGACGAGTCCAACCTTATGAATTTGTTTGATCGAATCCAATCGTTCAGACAGTCGTTTCCTTGCCTCCCTGCTAACTGAAGACTCAGTTGCATAATATGAGGAAGCGCTGAGGCTATCACCACACTCATTTAACTCGTTATAAAACCATATATTTGGTTCTGACTTCAAATTTTCCATGCCTGACCTGTTACGTGGGTTTTCATCTCTGACAGACCTGCGCTTTTTCGAGTCTGCTACCACTTTACCACTATTTCCAGCATGTCTCAATTGTTTGGTAACATCTCTAGCAATTTCTCTTAAACCTTTTGACTTGTGCCCCATAACTACCATACTAGCAGACAGTTTATGCCTTTCTCTGTCTCCACAAAACTCAGATTCTCCAGATATTGGAACCCGCTTTTGCCTTATGAGCCGATAAGGATAATTGTCAGGGGATCTTGCTGAGGGAACAGTTTTTATTATGTCCTGGGCCCTTTCTAGACTAGGTTTCAGAACAACAATCGGAGTAGACTGAAAATGACCTTTAGTTTTTCCTGTGCACAGTGGCTCTGACAATTTATGTTGGAGAGAACAGTTATGTTCCTTTATAGAGTGGTTAACAAGGTTAGATACAGGCTTCTTGAAAGATTTTACACCATCTTTTAGCAAATGAGTGTGCCTTTCAGTATATGTTTGGGATCTACAACATGATTCATTATCAGACTTGGCAACTCTTGATGGCTTTAAAATTGTGATGTGCCTTGCGTGTGGAGAAGGTGGAGAGCACTTCAGATCCTGGAGATGTTTTCTGAACAAGGAATTGGGTTCTCGGAGATATTTCACAAGAAGATCACTATTGGGATCAAGGTCTTCCAATGCATCATTATATTCCTTGTAGTACTGAAATTCATCATCAGTTGACGAATGGTCTGCATCCATGAACTTCTGCTTTACAAAAGCCAACTCGATGTCACTTGGTCTCAAATCAAACTCGCCTTGTTCTAGGCTTGACGCTCCCTTTGATAGTGGCTTATGTTTTTGCTTCTCGGTTTTTGGCACTTCCATGACTTCAAAAACATCTTTACATTCCTGATGCTCATTATTGCTCTGAAGAGGATAACACTCGTGTGACGTATGTTTCCTGTGAAACCCAACAGATGAAGTCTTTTTGGAACTAATTCCTCTTTCCTTATGCTGTCCGGTGAGTACAGAAGGCAGAGTATCAAGACCCATCAATCGTGCAACCACACTCGGTGAGGATCGTCTCATTTGCATTTCTTTTGATATCTCCTTGTCTATCAGTGTTTTTATTGTTCTGCTGGCTTTCCTGGACGAGACGCGCCCAAAGTCGAGACCAGACTAGGAAATTGAACATGCAATGTAAATTTAGTCATAAACATCAGAATACAAAATGGATATGTAGGTGGAAAAGGCCAGCAAAAATGGAAAGGAAGAAGAATAACTACACGATAGAATGCTCAGCCATAAATTTTGGTACTGCATATGATAGTATGTACGAAATCAATCATACGGGCTGAACAATGAAGAAATTTAAGATTTCATGGATCTCATTCAGAGATAGTACATAGAGACAAAGATGACGAATAGAAATTTTATGCCTGTCAAATGGCATATAACATATGCACATGTATGGGGAAAAAAGGATGCACTTACAGAATATTCTTCCACAGGAACCCTACTGCCGGGAATGGAGTCCAATGTTCTTTTTGACAAATTTATTTGCTTTCTCAATTGACCATTTGCTGAAACATAAGTTTGCAACGTTAAGGTAGAGACTGATCAAATATCTTTACTTCTAGATAAATTATGCAACACAAGTAAAAGATAATGACATCACAAAGTTCAGTGACATGCGGTTTACTGCTTGAAAACTGTTACTACGAAATATCCATCAGCAAGCACAGACATAGCTCCTCTAATCCTCTAAATTTGATGGACAATGACTTGCTGACTGTTGCATGCAGCGAGACTAAATAGATTACCATCTGGCAGCATGACCATCAGATATGCTACATAAGTTTCATGACAAAGGCATGAAAAAATGGCACTAGCACAGAGGAAGAACAAATCCAAAACCAATCACACGCATTAATGCCCAACATGGCATAAAGCTATTATCGAAGCCCTTGGCAGACAGAACTGCTAAACAAATGCAAAAGTTGCATGCTCTCAAAGAGTTTCAGTGAGGTCCAAGTCACTAATTTGCCATATGTGAAAGTGTTAAATTATTATAAAATGCCTCACCTAAAGAGAAGACTGTCCATTTCCTTGGTCCCTTAAGCTGATATGGAAATCTACTATCCTGCAAGGCCTTTTTTGTTTCTTTTTACTGGAAAAATGGCCATAATCAGGAATTGAACTGTGACCCGCACTTCCCATAACCCGAGTTACTCATTCACCAATTATGCCAGGACTCATGACTACTAGGACATCTATCGGATATTGATCAGTGTTATGGTACAAGATAGTTTGTGATCATAAAACTACATAAAAGAACTAGAGATTACTTGAAAAGCTGCAACCTTTAGCTCCACACATGATATACTGATTGTGAATACGTGAGGAGACAAGTGGGGGCCACACCCATGTGAACGCAGTCTTCACCAATTGTTTGACGAGTTTGAGTTTCTTTAACATGGTTTTCGTTTTCCGCGTGATTAACCGGCCCACCCGAACCCGAAAATTAAAGCTGCTATAAAACCACCGCCTAGGGTTTTTGTTTTCCGTGTGCAAGGAGATTTATTTGGTTTTGATTTGTGCGGCTACAGGTGTGCAGGCGCAGCAAAGGGGTTGATTTATTTCGGCTACAGTGATTCCTTTTGGTGCTGATTTTGTGCGCAAGGGTTTTGTGCATCCTCTTTTGTAGAGAGATATTTGTGAGGGATTTGAGAGAGTTTGTGTGAGGGTTTAAATTGTGAGATTCTTGTGTAAACCCTAGTTGTATTCTCTCCCTCTATTAGTAGATCTCCCCCCTCCTTGCCCCGTGGACGTAGGCAATTTGCCGAACCACGTTAAAATTGGTTGTACTGCTTTTGTGTGATTTGTAATAGCTTTTAGGGTCCCTCGACGCGCAGTCCTAGAGCTGACGAGAGGAAGAGCTAATATCCTACTTTGATAGGATATAGGCTTCAGATTCTTGTTTTGGAGGAGACCATCATGGTCGATGTGAGGCCACCTAAATATGAAGAGGCGATATGGGAAAAGATGAATCGAAATGCTTGCGGGGTGATCAGGTCCTGTTTGGAACAGGAGCTGAAATACGATGTGATTGGGGTGACGTCTGCGATGAAGATGTGGGAAATTCTCAACAATAAGTACCTTACGAAGAGTGTTGAGAACCGGTTGCACTTGCTGCGAAGGTTATTCAGATTCCAGATGTCCAGAGGTACCTCGCTTGCGGCTCATGTGAACAACTACACTAAGTTGTTGTCGGACTTGGCGAACGTGGATGAGAAGATCACAGATGAGTACAAGGCTATTATTCTTTTGGGCTCCTTACCGGATGAGGAGTATGATACCTTCGTGCTTACGTTGCTGAACGGGAGATCTTCTATCACTTATAGTGAAGTGACTAACGCATTGACGAACTATGATTTGAGGAGGAAGGATAAGGAGACTTCCCGCGCTAGTACTTCAGGAGAGGCCTTGTCGGCGAGAGGTAGAAGCTCATATCAGAAAGGTGGAAACAGAGGGAGGTCAAAGTCAAGAGGTCGTCACCAGCTTGGAAAGAATCAATGTGCATTCTGCAAGGAGCAGGGACATTGGAAAAGAGATTGCCCGAAAGTCAAAGAAAAGGAGAATAGCAAGAATAAGGGCCCGAAGGCCAATGAGGTGAATGTTGCGAAAGGCGATGATTCCGATGATTCGAGCTTTTCTCTTTTGATTACTCCGGAGGTGAACCATTTGGATGCATCGGAGTGGATGCTTGATTCTGGCGCTACTTATCATGTGACTCCTAGGCGAGATTGGTTCTCATCATTTGAGAGACTCGATGGGGGTGTTGTGGTCATGGGAAATGATCAATCCTGTGGCGTTCGTGGGATAGGTACTGTGAGGATTCGGATGCACGATGGAGTAGTCCGTGAGCTGAAGGAGGTGAGATTCGTTCCTCAACTTAAGAAGAATCTTATCTCAGTGGGGGCTTTGGAGGCGAAGGGATTCAGGGTGACCTTTGAGGATGCTGTAGCAAAGGTTACTAAGGGATCTTTGGTGGTGATGAAGGGAGTCCGAAATCATAATTTATATTATCTGAAGGGGAGCACCGAGATTGGCCAGGTTGCTTCGGCGATTTCAGAGGCGGACATGAGCAGACTTTGGCACTACAGGCTAGGGCATACAGGTGAAAAGTCACTGCAGGCATTGTGCAAGCAGGGGCTTTTGAAGGGAGCCAAGAGTGGTAAAGTAGAATTCTGTGAGCACTGTGTACTTGGCAAGAAGACGAAGGTGAAGTTCGGGACGGCCATTCATAGGACGAGGGGCATCTTGGACTACGTGCACACAGATGTTTGGGGTCCCACTAAGACGGCATCACTTGGTGGTCGACATTGGTTCGTCACGTTCGTTGATGACTATTCTAGGCGATGTTGGGTGTACACCATGAAGCATAAGAGTGAAGTCCTAGATTTGTTTGTGGAGTGGAAGAAGAGATTGGAACTGCAGACTGGGAGAAAGATCAAGACGTTGCGATCCGACAACGGCGGCGAGTATACCTCAGACCCCTTTCTGCAGCTATGTCGAGACGAGGGCATAGAGAGGCACTTCACAGTTAGTCATACACCGCAGCAGAATGGGGTGGCGGAGAGATTGAATCGGTCTTTGCTGGAGAAGATTCGATGTTTATTGGCGCATAGTGGTTTGGAGAAGATCTTTTGGGCTGAGGCACTTTCTTATGCGAGCCACCTCATTAACAGGCTGCCTTCATCTGCGATTGAGGGGAAGACCCCTATGGAGATGTGGTCGGGAGAGACAGCACATGACTATGACCAGCTTAAGGTATTTGGTTGCCCTGCATATTATCATGTTAGAACTGATAAGTTGGAACCTCGAGCTAGGAAGGCCATATTTGTAGGATTCAAGCGTGGTGTCAAGGGATACAAGCTTTGGGATCCAGTTGATAAGAAGATTGTGCTGAGTAGGGACGTCACATTCGATGAGGCTTCTATCTTGAAGCTTCCCAGCTCTCATCAGGTGGAGAGCAACCCGACAGAGGAGATTTCGCAGGTGGTGGAGATTGATGCAGCTCCACAGAGTCCAGATAGTGCAGTATCCATGAGAGTGCCGACTGAGGTGACGCCAGGCGAGCACGACGGTGATGCGGAGGATACGGGTACTCATGAGCAGGATCAGGGACCGACGGCTCAGGTTCAGGATTCTATTGCGGCACGGAGACAGAGGAGAGACATACGGGTGCCAGCACGGTATGCCGACACAGTTGCATATGCACTTCCGGTGGAGAGTATCGATGAGATGGTGCCTACTACATTCAGAGAGGCCGAGCAGAGTTCGGAGGCTGATTCGTGGCAGGTGGCTATGCAGGAGGAGATGGAGTCTCTTCACAAGAACGATACATGGAAGCTTGTAGAGCTTCCAAAGGGGCGGAAGGCGATTGGGTGCAAGTGGGTGTACACGAAGAAGGAGGGCATTGAGGGCACTCCAGTGAGGTTCAAGGCTAGGTTGGTTGCGAAGGGCTATGCACAGGAGGAAGGTATTGACTATAATGAGGTTTTCTCTCCGGTGGTGAAGCATTCTTCGATTCGGATTTTGCTAGCTTTGGTGGCACAGTATGGTTTAGAGTTAGATCAGTTGGATGTGAAGACGGCATTTCTTCATGGTGATCTTGATGAAGAAATATATATGACTCAGCCATTGGGATTCCGAGCTGCAGGGAAAGATAAGTTGGTTTGCAAACTGAAGAAATCGCTATACGGTTTGAAGCAGTCTCCTCGACAGTGGTATAGGCGATTTGATGGTTTTATGCTTGGTCATTCGTACACTCGGAGCCAGTTTGATCCTTGCGTGTATTTTCGCAAGTTGAGAGGAGGTGCGTACATTTATTTGTTGCTTTATGTCGATGACATGTTGGTTGTCTCTAGTTCCAGGTCAGCTATAGATGAGTTGAAAGTTCAGCTTTCGAATGAGTTTGAGATGAAGGACTTGGGCGAGGCGAAGCGCATTTTAGGGATGGAGATCGGCAGAGACAAGAAGAAGGGCAGAATTTGTTTGACACAGGTGGCTTATTTGAAGAAGGTTCTATAGCGATTCCATATTAGCATGGATACGGAGCCAGTTGGTGTACCTTTGGGAGCCCATTTGAAGCTTTCAGCTGGTCTTTCACCGAAGTCAGTTGAAGATCGTGAGTTGATGTCGAAGACTCCATATGCGAGCGCGGTTGGGAGCTTGATGTACGCAATGGTATGTACGAGACCAGATTTGTCACAGGCGGTGAGCATGGTATCGAGATACATGCACGATCCAGGAGTGGGTCATTGGGACGCCGTGAAATGGATTTTGAGGTACATTCGAGGTACGCTCAATGTTGGTTTGGTTTATGAGCGAGACACTACAGGTGGGCAGCTATGCATTGGCTATGTTGATTCGGATTATGCCGGGGATTTGGATAAGCGCCGGTCTACTACGGGGTATGTGTTTACTTTGACCCGTGCGCCGGTGTGTTGGAGATGCACCTTACAGTCGACGGTGGCTTTGTCTACGACGGAGGCAGAGTATATGGCAGTTACGGAGGCTGTGAAGGAAGCTATTTGGCTTCGAGGACTTTTGGAGGAACTTGGTATATCGCAGAGGTCCGTCACTATTCATTGTGATAGCATGAGTGCTATCTATTTGGCGAAGAATCAGGTTTTTCATGCGCGGACGAAGCACATCGATGTTCGATATCATTTCGTTCGGGATGTTCTTGAAGATGGCGATGTGGAAATTGTTAAAGTCCACACGAAGGATAATCCGGCAGATATGCTCACTAAGGTGGTTCCGAGCAACAAGTTTGATCATTGTCGAAACTTGTTGCACATTCGTAATTGTTGAGGCCGTTGTCGGCCATTTGGGTGAACTACGTTCGGCTTGATTCCTTGGGCAAGAGGATACGTAGGCAGTCTTTCAGATGCAGCCGGTTTGGATTAGTTGATGGGGGTGAGATTGTTTGGACTCTCGTTCGGGTTCTCGACTTGTTGTGGATTGCGGCGTACTGGACACAACAAGTGGGACATTTGATTGCTTTGGTGTCGGTTCAGTTTTGAGAAACTTCGCCGAGGTGGAGAATTGTGAATACGTGAGGAGACAAGTGGGGGCCACACCCATGTGAACGCAGTCTTCACCAATTGTTTGACGAGTTTGAGTTTCTTTAACATGGTTTTCGTTTTCCGCGTGATTAACCGGCCCACCCGAACCCGAAAATTAAAGCTGCTATAAAACCACCGCCTAGGGTTTTTGTTTTCCGTGTGCAAGGAGATTTATTTGGTTTTGATTTGTGCGGCTACAGGTGTGCAGGCGCAGCAAAGGGGTTGATTTATTTCGGCTACAGTGATTCCTTTTGGTGCTGATTTTGTGCGCAAGGGTTTTGTGCATCCTCTTTTGTAGAGAGATATTTGTGAGGGATTTGAGAGAGTTTGTGTGAGGGTTTAAATTGTGAGATTCTTGTGTAAACCCTAGTTGTATTCTCTCCCTCTATTAGTAGATCTCCCCCCTCCTTGCCCCGTGGACGTAGGCAATTTGCCGAACCACGTTAAAATTGGTTGTACTGCTTTTGTGTGATTTGTAATAGCTTTTAGGGTCCCTCGACGCGCAGTCCTAGAGCTGACGAGAGGAAGAGCTAATATCCTACTTTGATAGGATATAGGCTTCAGATTCTTGTTTCCTTTGAGAAACAAGAATTCTTATTGCGACCTGACTCTCTTGTTGTGCTGCCGAAGTGCTGCCGAAATTTCCGCTGCGCGCAACACTGATAAGGGGGGAGAAAAAGCTGCAAACTAGAATAAACTATGCTGTGCAAGGATAATTAGAGAGCCAATTATGGCAACCCAAAGTGATATCACAACACCATATGATCAGGTATTTACTATCATTGGATCCATTTGTTAACTCGTAAACTAAACTGGCATTGTTCCCTTAAAGAGAAAACTAAGTCCAGGTTTAGATTTATCGGGCACTCAAGAGAGGGAAAAAAATGTCTATATTATCCTAAGAAATAACAGTCTACAAAGTAGCGCGCTTAAACTCTAATGATCTTCTTCAAAAAAACAGACCAAAATACAGAAAGATCAAAAGATTACTTGGACAAGGAGAACTCCAAGAAGAAGAACAGCAACCTAGGCCCGAAAGCACTGAATCTTTGCTTCCTCTTCCAAATAAAAGGTCGAACATAATTTCCTAAACTCAGAGATGAAGGAACTCCAATTTTCCAGAACATAACACAAAATTTGTCTGAAGCGTTATAAGAGCTTCCAATAAAATATTTTAAGCAAGTCCAAAGAAAATGAAAGTGATGTTTTATCCGAAAAAAAAATAAAGAATGGAGTATAGAAAATTAAATAAACAACATCTTATTCTGCTCATAACACAAAGTAGATTTATGCCTAAGAAAGCATTCATTGGGACACATCACAACACAATCCCGGGATTAAGAACTAACATCGGTACCCATCATGTGAATGGTCAGAGTCCTTTACTATTAATTATAATGGGATGTCTCTTGGAAGAAGAAAACTAGTACTAAAAATTTGATCTTTCTTGTTACTGATAAAGTACTCCAAAGATACCGCTCAAGATTTCCAGAATTGAAAAATAATGCTATATCTTTTTCTTGAGAAAAAAAATTGCCAGAAAATTACCAATATTTTCTTTTAAGACCCGTGGGATTTGAATATGGATATGGTTTGATAGTTGTAGGAGGTTTATAACTGTATACTATAACAAGAAAGAAAGGGGATATAAATAAATAAACAAATTGTTTTCTGTAAAAAAAAAAATTAAGTACCAGTTTCAGAATAAATGAATCATTTGAATAAAAGCCATACGCAACGCTGGAATCTGCTAAAGATTTAATATTTTCTTCAAACGCTAGCTACCAATAAGAAAGTCATGCTCTATTATCGAATCTAGCTCAGCAAAGTCGCAATCTTATTTCATATAGAAGCAAGACGATTTAAATAATTATAAAAAGAGAGATGGTCTAGGTCATAATGTGCTTATAGCAAGAAACCTAATTAAAAAAAGCGCGTTAATTAAAAAATTCATATCACTAAGCATCATGTGCCAACGTTAACACTGCAGGTTCTAATTAATTATCGAATTAACATCTCAGAAAATGAAAAGCGCATTTCACCCCAAAAAAGAAAAAGAAAAAAAAAGTAAAACTACTACCATTTCTGAACATTCTCGTTTCAGAATTTAGGTTTTTAATTTCTAAAAACCGAAAATTGCACAAGAACAACTCGATTTCCCAAATCCTCTACCAGAAAAAAAAAATCAACTTTCATCAGCTCAAGATGTGATCTTTCTCCCTGAGCCCGCTTCCTGGGGTTCAAATTGCAAATTTTAATTTCAAGACAGAAAACCACGCAAAATTCCGAGAAACGACATCGATCCAAATCCACATTTTTTTTAAGGAGATTTGAGATCTCACCTCCAAGCTGAGCTCGATCCACCGCTTCAGAATCAGGATCGACGATCTCCTTCCTCTCTCCGGACCTCGATCTGCTTCTCCCCTTCTCTCGAAACTCCCCGTACATTTTTCAACGAAAACAAAAACACCAAAAGGAACACAGCAGCGGATCCGGATTCGAGAAGAAGCGGGGGGATTCGAAATGACGAGGCGAGAATGAGAATTAATGAGCTTTAATTAATTTCACGGGGGGGGGGAATTTTGAAGCATTTGGATGAGAGAAAGCGACAGAGGACGACGAAGAGAGATCGCATTCAATGAGGCTTTCAATGGAGGCGTTGCGATTAGGGGAATTATTTATAATTAATAAATGCGATGGGTTAGAGCTCTGATGAGCTCTGAAGCGCGAACTGAGCTTGGGGAGACATTCTTGGCACCGTAATATTCTTGGATTTGTTTTTTCAATTAGGACCTCTATTATTTTTTATTTCACAAAATGGGTCATTTTGGTCGCCATGTATGCAAAAGTCGTTTTGAGGAAAGAAATAATTATAGATAAAAACTACTAAAACTATGAAAACCAATATGGAATAAGGATGTAAAGCCAGAAATAAGTAGGTTTTCCATAGTTTTTGTCGTCTAACAAAACTTATCATCGGGATATGAATATGTGATAAAGAACAAAAAGGTAGTTTGTGTAAGATAGCAGTCTTAATTGCAGATTGCATCATTTTCCTCTCGCTGGAAAACATAAAATTTAACTTTAAAATTTTTTATATGACCATAGATACTGTCTTTCTGTTTTTATTTATTTATTTATGTGTGTGATATAATAATTGCATGTGTTGACTGGAAAATGATAAGCCGGGTTTATATATAAACTTTATCGTCTTTTTTCAGTGCCGGGCCATGTATAAAAAGCTAAGTTGCATGGAAACGGGTACTAGTACGGGTGCGGGTACAGGACACGGTAAAACTGTAAAATGTAGGGTATGAGGACACGACTACATATATATATTGAATTAATGTTGTACACAAGATAAATTTTTTCCCCTTCATGTGTCATTAGAATTAAAATTTCGATCACATTTTTGTGTTTCTTTTATCATATTGATGATCGTGAATTGTCAACTACTCATGTTTTTACTAGGCATATAAACGACCCATTAACTATATAGTTTTAAACTTGGGTATGCACTGAAATGAATCTGACCCGTATCCCATTATTTTCAAAAGACAGATGTAAAGTGTAAGCTCTACGTCCAGGAAGTCTTTGACAAGTGTTTTAAATTAATACATATATCTTATAATTGAGTACGTGTTGTAATAAATACATGCATATATTCAAGAAGTGTCCATGAAGTTTGGGTACGGAAAAGTGTTGGGTACAGGTACGGCTTCATTATAGAAGTACCCGGGTAACATAGATAAAAAGTTTTCATCTCTCCTATCATATCCGATAGGATTTTTCAATTATGTTTTCAGATTAAAAAGTTCACAATTTTATTAATTTTTAAAAGGTTACAAACTGCTTCTTTCTTCGCTTAAAAAATAAAAATAAATAAAAGTTCGATTCCGAGGATCTTTTCTGGAGGTAGAAGCGATCATGCCTCTGTCGACCACAAGAACAAAATTATCGAGTTGTTGTCGTCGTCATCGTCGATTTTGGTACGAGGGGAGCTCCTCTTTGTTGAAGAACCCAAATTAACTCTCATCACACAGGGCCGCCTTTGAATTATGTCGGGCTGAACTCCGCTGCAGTATAGTTCCTCTCAGAGGGATCACCTCCGAAGATGCAGCAAACACCAAAAAAAGGGGGAGCAGCAGCGGTAAAGCGTCAAAACGCCAAGCTTCGTTGTTGAACAAATTAAGCGGGGTACGTACGACGCGAGCAGGGTGCTCAAACAACCAAGCTTCGACGAACGGATCGAGTGGGTAATGGCGCACCAACGGAAGCCGAATAAACGGCAGGAAAACTCTTGAAAGCGAGAGCTTTTAGCAGCAGACCCGCAACGTACGTACGTACATCTCTCTTGAGAACCGCGCGAGCTGATAAAGTTGCAACAGTTGCACTACGTTTAATGTGATTCCGACAGCTCTAGCCTCGTAATGTTGACTTCGGTAGCCTCGCGACGTGAAGCTAATAACTTCGTTACCCAATTTTAACTCGGAAACAAATAAAGCAAATTTCAGTCTATAAATCTGGATCGATGGTGACGTGCGTAACGTGCGTTAGGTGTCAAATCATCAAAACTATTACCAACGTATGCATTTAATGCAATTGGCTCGCTGATGTATTGGTATTGCCTTCTTTGAGACTGATGAGCTGATAAAACTACTACAATCATATCACACATAATGAAAGCTAATAGCTTTAAGCTTGACAGCCTAAAGTTAACCTCGCCGCTTTCACTTTACGATCGATTGAAGTTAACCTCACGATATAAAGTTGACCTCGCAACTTAAAGTTAATCTCGCGATCGTAGACGGTTTTCAGCCTATAAATTCAATTTCTTGGGCAGTGGCGTCACCAGGATTATTTTTTGCCCTGAGCGAAAATTAAAGTTGGGATGTTCACAGAGTTGTTCTCAGTGACGGATTCGACTTTCTGTTACTTGATGGAATGTACAGCCAACCTCCTAACGGGGCGACGATGGGATTTTTGGACGACGTAGGGAGTGCGAGCAGTGTTGCGTTGCCAAAGGTCACACCGATGGTGGCACTGCCAGTGCCTCCGAGAGCAAGCGGAGGAGGGGAGGTTGCAGGCGGAGACCCGTTTGCATCATCGGTGTGGCCTTTGGCCACTTTCTTGCCACGAGTAGCTGCCCAAGGCAAGTCTTGACTAGCTACGCCACTGTCTTGGCCTCCATTTCAGCAAAGCTGGGATCTCTAGTTTTTGTCTCTCTTGGTCTATTGCTGTTGAGTGCCTTAGCTCTTCTTAACTTCATGAATGTAGTATCTTGATGGTAATCACGAGAATTTGAACTCCATCACCGGTCGTTGTCAATCAAGTACATTGTTGATAGTTTAAATACACAGGTAAAAGAAAATGTAATAGGGATTGGGTTGATATGCATGGGCCGCTCACTTTTTCGAGTATTCGATTTGAAGTTTGGTTGTTCGTCCTTGCATGTATAACGATTCGTAAGAGGAAGGGATGGATTCCCCCGTTGTTCTTCCAACGATCAAGTCAGCTACATGCTTGAGTGGGAATATGAGAAGTGTAGCGAAATGAAGCAAATGCTAAGAAAAAATTGCTTACCTTTTTATTTGGAATTGTTTTTCTTTTTATAGCTATGCCAGAGGGGTAGTCTAGTCTTTTTGGTGACTAAGTCAGCGTCTACTTTACATGTGTCAGTCGTAGAGCGGTCACGGGATGAGCGTTGTCACTTCGGCAAATGAGATGAGATAGGCTGCGCACGAAACAAGCGTGGTCCGATGTGTCATAAATAGTATTGGGGATGGAGAAATGATGGTGCATGCCAAGCATTTAATGTGAAGTCGACGCGCTGTCAACGGGGGCGGGGCAGGGGGTATCGAGAAGTAACGCCTTTCGAGTCGACCCAACGAGGTGTCGAATAACTAATCGAGTGGATTCGCAGCGAGTCATCTTCAACAAGAGGACCGATAAGTACCAACATTCGAGTCGGCCTAAGGAGATGCCGACTCGGCGAGTTAGCTAGGTCGGGATCCTGAAAATACTGAGCGTCAATTCGATTGAACGGTGCATGTCGAGGAACGCCTGTCAGTTGCTGGCAAAGGTGCATAATTTGTTAATTGAAAACACCATAACATATATCATCTCTGATTAGCTTCGAGATGGTTGCGAAGCAAAATCTACTTCAACTTGTGTGAGTCTATATTCTGCATGAGCTAACAGCTATATCCATTTAACTCTGCATTGCATCACGTCGAAATAACCCATTTCCTCTAGTAGATCCCGCATTGCATTGGGTAGATATTGTTTATATTTTTGACCGTCTACAAACTAATACACATCGATACAAACTCATTAGGCAATGATTTGAGTTCATGATAAGCAGATGCAATCAGCAGTATAATATTTTTCCTTAAAAATAGTATAATACTTTGTTGTAATCCTACAATACAAGCGGATAATAAATTTTTTTCATTTACGTAATGGGTTTTTTTTTTCTTGAAATTCAAAGCCAACGTGTGCAAAAAAATGTTTTATGGAAGAATTGCAAAAACATAAAGAATAATAGGGTCCTACATGCAAACAGCGAGATTACCTTTGACACCAAAGAACCCGTTCAAATTCGAAATGCACATCGGCTCGCGACCCTTACTCAATTCAACGGCTTAGATACATCGTGCACGCATCTCAATATAAAATGGCAATAGGCCGAATGCTTCCAACCATTGAAGTCGTTTCTGATATGGGCTTCTGTGCTCGGTGAGGCCCATACCTGTTATATCTCTGCGGAAATCTAGATGTCCATGGCTTTTAAGGGCATTTACGTCATTTACTGTGATTTTGTGATAATAAGGTTAGTGAAAAATAATAGAGACGTGACATCTTCCCGTCACGTGCTTTGGATTTGCGGCCAAAGAGGACAAGTCTGTTTGGTAGATGTCAATTTGTTTTTACTAAAAAAAATACCAGAATCTTCGTTAACAAATATATCTACGGTTTATCTTAAAATAAAAATCCATGAAAAGATATGAATACTAATTTTTCATGCATTGGATGCTTCTTTCCGATTACGGTCTTTTATGTTATTTTCAGTCGCTAACGGCCATTTGTCAGTAACGGACATGTATTGCCCTACGTACATCGCTCAAACTAAATTGACGATCAGGGCAACCAAGGTTCCAACTTAGTCGACCCGTCGATTCGACATCTCCTTAGATCGACTTGAATGACGGAACTTGTCGGCCCTCATGTCGAAGGCGACTCCTCGCTACGAGCATACTTGACTAGTTATTCGACGCTTCGCGAGGTCAACTCGAAAGGCATTACTTCTCGGTCAAGCTAAAGAACGACTTTAACCTCGAACCTCACTCGCTGTCAACACGTCGGTACATTAAATGCTTGGCAGACGTCATCATACCTCTAGCCTCAATAATCTTCTGTTGGATT